AGTGGTACCTATTTATCTACTTGCAATGTCTTGCTTTCGAACTGCTAGGTTGGCAGGAGCTGGAACTAGAGACGGGAGCTCACTCCGTCATGCGGCACCCGGGTCTCGAACTGCTGAACTACCGATCTTCCACAGCCTGCAGTTCAGTGTCTTAACCACTTGAGCCACCGTTACCGGGGATGTTTCTTGCTTTTACAATGCTGACATATTAATAATATTAGAGGGCTTTTGTAAGGATGGCTGAAGCACTGGGTTGAATCCCACAGATCTGTTCTGCTAACAATGGTGGGACTAAGGGGAGACACGGTAGAGGTTTATAAAATTATGCACGGGGTGGCGAGAGTTGACAAAAAAGAGCTCTTTCTCCCTCTCCCAGAATACTAGACCTCAAGGGCACCCAGTGAAGATGATGGGCAGTAGATTCAAGGTAGACAAGAGGAACTATTTCTTTTCACAGAGAGTGATTAAAATGTGGAGTTTGCTGCCAGAGGGTGTCATGATGGCCGCAGGAATAAACAGCTTTAAAAGGGGGTTAGACAGATTGGCTCCTAGACATGGTGACTAAAGGGCGCCTCCACGTTCAGAGGCACTCAGCCTCTCAATCGGAGTGCTAGGAGGCAGCAGCCGGAGAAGGCTTCCAGAGGAACTGGCTAGCCATTGTGTGAGACGGGATGCTGGACTTGAGGGACCCTCCCTGATCTGATCCAGCAGGGCTCTTCTGGGGTTCTTCTCAGGGGAAGGCCTCGGCCTCCCTGCCCTGTTGTTGGCCCTCCAGAGGAACTGGCTGGCCCCTGTGTGAGACGGGATGCTGGACTAGAGGAACCCTCCCTGGTCTTGACCCAGCAGGGCACTTCTGATGTCCTTAGGAAGGAGGAAACTGATTGGCCGTAAAAGAAAACCCCAAGAGTTGACTTGCATTTCAACTGTGTCTCGAGGGCTAGGATTCATGGCATTCATTACACAAAGTTACCTGTTTTCTCTCTTGGCAGGGCTCTTCTGATGTCCTTAGGAAGGAGGAAACCGATTGGCCGTAAAAGAAAACCCCAAGAGTTGACTTGCATTTCAACTGTGTCTCGAGGGCTAGGATTCATGGCATTCATTACACAAAGTTACCTGTTTTCTCTCTTGGGACAGTTCTGGCTTAAGGTAGTTTCAGGAGGGTAGCCATGTTGATCTGAAGTAGAACAGCCAGATTCAAGTCCAGGATTTTGCGGTGTGAGCTTTTGAGAGCCAATGCTCTCTTCATCAGAGCTTTGACGCTCAGGAGCTCGCATGCACCAGAGTCTTGTTGGGCTCTTAAGGTGCTACCGGCTTAAGAGCAACTTGCTCAAATTCGTGGTCAGTTGTGGAATCATGATGCAGCGAGAATCCCTACTGAAGATGTCAGTGCCCTTTTCCTGTTGGGCTTCTATGAGTTTTTAGTGATTTTGGATCCCTTTTGCAATCCCACTGTATACCATCTTTAGAAAGCCAATACATGATTTAAAGGAAAAAAATTAAGTAAATAAAAAACTAAAAAACATAAATGCATGATTTAAAGTGTTGCTCTCGAGTCTATGGACCTGGCTGGCAGATATTCTGATTTGGACTGCTCTGTACAGTAACATCCTAACATTAGAAATTTCCTACATTAGTCCACTGCCCCTTGAGATTCCTATGTTTGGAGCAAACTGTAACACCTCCCAGACTATAATGTGTTCCTGTCCTTTATCGCGGCGCTAAGGGTTAGCTGCTTCTGTCCGACATTCGCCACGTTGTATTTTGCGCTTGGCTGCCTCTTTGAAGTATTAAACCCCTTGAAAGAATCGTAGGCAGCCGAGAGATGCTGGCACATGATGTATTTTTAGCAGAATAATTGGGCAGTGTCTCTGATTTGAAATAGTCGTGTTGACCTCTGGTCTTTGTTTCATCACCAGAAAAAAAGAAAAAAAGAAAAAAGAAAAGTAAAAGATTTGGTTTTCTTTCTTTAAGGCTCTTTGAAGCCCAGCTTATGAATCAGGAATATGCTGGTCCTTTGTTTAGCGCTTTGCAGGCGTCAGGCGGGAGGGTGCGAAGAGCTTGTAATGTAAAGCGATGTCCTCCCCGACCCCTTAATGCCGACCCCCTTGTAGTAATTTCAACCCATTTCCATCCAGCTTCTCAGGACAGCGAGGAGCTTGCTAACATCATCCCCAGCCGACCATGCGTCTCCTTTTCTCAACTCCATTTTCAACTCCGCCCTGAAGAAAGGAGAGAACATGGCGTGCGTGCTGTGAAGAAAAAACAGGAAGATGGTTGGGAAGCTGGATGATGCATGAGAAATTTAATAGGTGGAAAAAGAAAGGACAGAGGTGGCTAACTCATTGACGCCGACGTAATTTTGGTCGCGTCCATTGCCGGCAATGGATGTCGCTCTGGGAGAATCCCCTTATTCCTGGCGGGAGATGATCGAGTGAGCTATTCCTTTTTTTATATATATCTGTATATATATATACCTCTTCACACCAAAAGACAGCTGCAACGGCTTGGGCTTTCAAGGCCTTCGTGGTTGGAGGTCTCGAATCCAGGACGAATGTCAACGAGGTAGAGCGCAGTCCATTGAAACACACGCGCACACACACACACAACTGCTTGACATCACTATAGGAGGGCAGGTTTTCAGCACGGGTTTCTGCAGGCATTTCCCATTTGACGAGGGAACGGTGCAGGTGTCTCCCCGTGCTGAAAACGTACCCCGGAGTAGAAGTCCTTCAACAGAGGATGGTTTAAAAACCAACATAAGAATGCTTGTCTGGCGCCCACTCCGCATCAGGACATTGGAGGAAAAGGTAAGTTTCCTTAGGAAGAATGATCAGACTTCAGCCACCCTCTAGGGTACAATGGCTAATGATTCCGTTGCTGGCCAGCTTTTGATGTTTAAAGTAAAGATACTGGCGAGCATCCGTGGCTACAAAGTGTACAAGCTTCTAACGTCTTCTTCTCGGATGCCTTTGACACATCGTGAAATGGAGGCACCCCATCCAGCATACAAACATCAACACCCAGTTTCATCCATAGATATTTAGCAAGACGATAATGCAATGGTTAGTTGGTTCAAGGGTGAACTTGGAGGGTTTCAAGGCCAGAATTAGACCTGGCGGCCCCCATCGTTCATATTTCCTTCTACTTGGCCTTTCTTCAGTTGCCTTCAAACAGACAATGCAGCCAGAGCCCATGGCCTTTGCCTCCCAGCTGTAACAGGTGTGGTCTCCTAACAGCTGTTAGGAGAAAGGGTAGGGCATGATTTGACTATTTGCTACGGAGTGGAGGCTCTAAAGAGTCATCAGGCAGCTAGTGGATGGATAAATCTGGACCTCTTGCCCACCGATGGCCACGCACCGGTGTACATTTGCGTTACAGTTTGAATATGTATAGGGCGCAAAAGCACCAACTCTGGGCCGGAAGCGATCTTTGAGGCAAGGCTACTAGTTTGGAAAGTAGGGTTTCCCCATCATTATATTTCAGTGCTCAAGGGATCTGTCATGGGATCTAGCCCTTGTTGATCTGGGACCAGCGTGGGCACGAATGAGTCTTCTGGCGTTGGGAGTTCTAGAACCCAGGAAACTGGAGTCTTCTGGCGTTGGGAGTTCTAGAACACTGAGGGTACGCGAAGCTGATCTGTGTGAAACCGATGTTGTTTGTTTAGGAAACTTGAGGTGTTGGTTGTTCTCAGTTTCTGTAGAACTTAGCAAACGCTGATACTCTTAAAATCCGTCACTTTGGGGTGGGGGGCTACAAGCCAGAGATTGAGTCTTCATTGTTGGGCCCCAGTATCTCAATCCTTTATGTTGTTCTTCCAGAGAGAGAATTTTGTGGTTGAGGCCCGTTGATCCCACCTAAAACTGAAGTCAGGAAAAGTAGCAAAAGGGTAGATCGAATGACTTGGGGTGGTGAAGGGAAATGGATAGGCCGTCCTCTTAAACGGTCTTCAGAAGAGCAAGTTAGATTACTTTAGTCGCAGGATGGTTTGGAGAAGACACGTCGTCCCTTGGCCTGTATTTGTACAGGCGAGCAGAGTCCTGTCTGTGCAACCGAGCCTTGCACTTTCTGTGGCTTTTTGTTTAAAAAATGAAATTAACCGCGGTGGACACCTCCTTCTCTTTGCGTTGGTTATGCCCAGCCAGTTGAATGGGTAACCCAGCAAGAGCTGTGGAGGGATAAGATTCTAAGAGAGCTCAATGAGCAAAACATCCCTTTGTATGAATGCACCTCCATACCCAGCCACTCATTAGGTAGGAGTTCTATGAGGATAGAGGCTGATGGGCACCGTGAGGTGTGGGGAAAGATCATAGGACGTACAGACAAAACATAAAAGGGAAGCAATGATGAAGCAAGTCTATGCCTCGTCTTGCCTAGTAAATAGAAGTAAACAGAGGCTGGGCGGCTCTGATTTCACACTGAGTAATTTTTCATTTTCTTAAAAGGCAGCGGCAGCCATAGGCGTTGGACTGTAGGACATCCCTTCCCTTTTTTGTTGAGCTTATTAATCACCCTCAATTCTGCCTGTCTCCTACTGCAGAAAAAAATATTTTTATTTGGCCTTGCAGCAATAACAGGCGGAAGAAAGGGGATTTATTAACTAGACTTCTCTTTTTTTTGTTCAGAGCCATACAAAAAGGGAGTAGTCTCAGATGTGGCCCAAAGACAGATGGGTATATTAGAGCCCTTCGCCGTAATAAAGTTCAAGCGGGCATTCCATTTTAAACAATACAGTTAATGTAAGAAGCTAGGAAGTTTGGCCTTTCCTTTGTTGTTGTTGTTGTATTAAATGTATTGCATCTGTTCATGGAAATAAAGCTGCTTTACCGTTAGCCCGCATCTCAACTGGCTAGAAGTTGTCCTTTGTGTTAAGATGAGGGTCTTTTGGTCTTGCAGGAGAACCACAGAAAAACCCGATACACAGTGACCTGGCTTCATGGTCAAATGCTCCCTCTAAGCTGGGGAGTCTTGTGAGCAAAAATTCCACTTTGCGAGCATTAAAGATGTGAGCAAGTAATTTGGCTCCTGCATCAATTAGTTTGCTCTGGAGCCATCCTTCCTGAGCTAAGACAAAAACATGTGAGCCAGAGGCTAAAAAACTGTGAGCTACCTCACGCTAACTCAGTTTAGCGGGAACACTGGTCATCATGACCCAGTTTTCATTTCCATGCAGACCCTTCTCAAGTGTTGTGTTTCTGGCACTCCCATCTTTCATGCTGGAAGAATTGTCCTGTGAGCGATCGTCTCAGTAGGCATAATTTTGTCGGAAAAAGGCAGCTTTGGTACATGCTACCTCAAATTTGGATTTTGGGAGAATACATGTTTGCAAGTACTAAAGCTGCAGAACATGTGTGTGCGCTCTCCCAGTGTGCAAGATATCAGTGCCAGAAAGGAAAAATCCCCCAAAAGGGTGTATGTCACATTGTGGGAGGGTGGGGTAAAAATCCAATTAAATAAATAAATATTAAAAAGTCAGGGTAGATCACAAAGCTCAAGTGGTTTGTTTTATATAACGGTTGAAAATATTAAAACCTTGCCAACAGTCATGACCTATTATAATCTATATGCTTGGGGCCACCACATAACT